CCGACCTTCAGCTGACAGAGCCTGGCAGGAGGAGGTAGCCACAGGGATATGCATGGCCCCAGAGATGACTCTGGGATGGACGGATTCTCACCGATGCCTGGTTATTCCAAAGCAGTCCTGGTGAGCAGCAGCCACCCGATGCAACATCCACGATCCAGGGTCATGGCAGGTCTCACAGCGCAGGCATCATCTAAAAAGAAAGAAAAAACAGCACCACGAAAATGCAGCCATGCCTGGCTTATTCAGCACCCCTAACCTAACTCAGCCCGAGCAAACACTCCGAGGGAACGGGACGATCCAGGATTTTATAGCATCTGCGGGACAGGGAAATGCCGAGCATCCACCATCCTTTTATGGTTTTTCGAGTTTCCACACAGCAGTTCCTTCTGCACAGCCACAGATGAACTCTGACAGCAGGCAGCAAGAGGGGAGTCTCTCTCCAGCAGCTCAGAGTAACACAGCTATGGATTAGATAACTAAATAAAAGGAAGATCTAGATTAAATGATACAGGGGAGTCCTTCCCCCCTCCTTCCTGTAGTTTTCTTCCCCACAAAGTCCCATCCCCAGTCTCTTAAAAACATCAAGAGACTCCACAGATAAAAAACAACAGAGGACCAGTGCCACACTTGGGATGCATGAACTAAGAACTTGAAGTTTCATTTCTCATTTTTTAGAATCAATGACAATTTGTAGGGACAAAAATTCCAAAGAAATACAGAGAAAGTGCTAGTTTTCAAAACCCTTTGGTCCTCCATTGGCTCAAAGTTGTTTCTGTTCCTTCTTCTGTACAATTATGTTCATTGCATAATCAGAAACACTTTAAGTCTCACCTTGTTACTAAGGCCAACCACTCCAAAATTACACAGCAGTAATACATAAAAGTGCTTGCAAAAACAGCTCTCCAAATGAGCTATTTCAGCCTTGCAGAACTTCGAAGCATCTGTAGCTTCTGCAAGTTGCTGAACTGCTTATACACAAGTAAGAATCCTGAACTGCTCCCTGAGCAAACTGGCACCTCAAAAATAGAGATGGAGAATACGAAAAATTATTGTCGCCACACAATGCTAGGAGACAAAAAAAACCCACCCCAGAACATCCTCCCCAGCAGAAGCCCCAAAATAAACCCCCAAGACCAGTTCTTACAGAATTCAGCAATGCTGAAGTCCAAAGGTTTAACTGAGAAACTCTGGTTTAAAAAGAGCAGGTGCCTTTGGTCGTCCCGCAGCACCCCGCTGACGCGACAGGCCAGGTCAAAGACCATTTTCCCATTCCCAGGAGCAGGGCAGCCGGCCTGTGGTGGTTTGGTGGTGTCCTGTCCCCAGGAGTCATTCTCCTCAGGAAGAGACAGCAGCTCTGGGTGGCTTCCTTGGCTTCCAGGTGCCCGACGTTCAGAACTGTGAGCATCCCCTCCTGCTCTGAAAAACTCACTGCAGTGGGTTATGAAGAACACGAGCTCTGACACAGGCAGACGAAATCCCCGCACTCTGGAGGAACAAGAGTTGGATGGCCGTTTACTTGCCCTGTCTCATAAAAGGGCTTCAATAAAGCCTTGGAAAAGCCAACCATGAACACCTGCCAGCTCAATATACATCCCTTGCTCCGTAGAACAAAGCCAACCTACTGGAAGACAACGAAGAAATCAGCCTAGGTGTTTGGCTGATGCAGGGCCATGGTATGCGCTTTCAATAGCAAAAAATATTTGCTCTCTGAAGATCATTTAAACCTAGGTGTGTTCTTCTGCTGTATCGCTTTGGGATGCTCTTCTTAAACACATCTTTCCTTCCCGAAAAAGCTCTTGCAAACAACCTGCACATTTGACCCCGTTCGTGGAAACACACGCCTGGAATCAATGCCGTTGATAACTATCAGTGAAGAAATAACCGGGAAACTTAAGTAGCAAAACACTTTAAACATTCAGCCCACCACATGTTGGAACAAGAGAGAGCAAGACAGCAGAGAGAGACAAAGAGACTTAAACAACCCATCAGTGTTGCTTTATTAAAATCTTTATTCACACAATGTTGCTTTATGCGGAATCTGACCCCAGGGGGATACAAGTAGAAAGTCACGATCGCATTCAGTTTTCTTATTGGCAACCTCCGTTTGAGCAGCTGCTCCCGGGGCAATCCTCTGATGGCTCCAGGAGAGGTGTCTGTGTCAAGCATCTCGCTCCAGCTGCCACAGCAAATAAATTACCTTCTAAATAAATTAGTATTTTTCAGTTGAAGTTTGTTTGGCAAGACACACTCCAGTTCATTAGCTGCTGGAAGAGAAGCCGACTTCAGTGTCTCCTCCAGCCCGACTGCTGACTTCGGAAGGAGGAGATAAATAGCAGATGGCTGATGATGCTCTCTTTTTAATTAGTTCTTGATTTCTGTGCTTTGAGCGTGCTGATATTACTAATATCCGCAACACAATCATTTTGTAACATCTGGAGCCAGCGAACTGCAGTGTGCACAGTGAACAAGCATTAGGAGGAGTCGTGAAAACCTCACCGACAGAGCACAGGGCCCGCCTCACACACGGCGCTGTTTTTCAGAGATCCGGGCAGACCCTGCTTGCTCGTGGGTGCTGCTTCCGATTTCGCTTGCAATGGTTACAATTGATTTGAAAATTTCTCAGGGTTCTGTATTCAAGCAAGACAACGATCACTGCCAAAATGCCAGAGATTATGACAAAGCCAAAAATCAGATCTTCCCGATTTTGGGTGAGAGAGGCATTTATTCTTCTCTCCTGCTGCAGAACACCGAGCTTCAGTGGTGTCTGCAGTGACCAGAATCGCCAACATGGCAAAAAAAGAAGAAAAAAAACAACCATTTCTTGCTTCCTGCTACTGATGATGCTGGACTTCATGCCCTTTGTTTACAAGTAAACCAATACAGTGCTTTACATCTTTGACATTCATACTGGGGGGAAACTTCTCCCCTCCAAGATCCATCTGACAGCAAAAGCTTCAGCTTAAAGCCCCACGAACAAGCAATACATACGCCCTGAAAACTGATTTGATTTCATAAAGACAGAAAGACTTTTTCTGGAATCCGTTATTAAATCAAACGGAAATGATCAAGAGTGATCAAATATAAATCAAAACTTTAAATTTTGGTAGATCCTTCCCAAAATATTAAGTGCTCATGATTAAGCTCAAAGAGAATAACATGCTTTTAAAAACGCTACAAGCCACTACCATGTGCTTCACCGTCCCCCCTTTGTGTAAATCATCTTCAGTTTCCTGGGAAATGTTTATGTCAAAATGCCTCAGTCTGAATCCATTCTGCTTTAGAATAAAAGCACTCGCTAACGGCCTCCGTGCTGCCCGGGGTCCTTCCCTCCGGCGCGGCTCCTGCCCACACTCACCAGCGCTTCTGCCCAAAGGGAACCCGCATGGCACGGTCTGCGCTGGTGGGTTAAACTCACCAAGGGACCGTGGCTTCGAAAGCATGATTCTGTCATCAAGTACAGCGATAAACAGGCACTAGCTCAACACCAGGGTCCTAAAAGCTGGCTGTTCGTTCCAGTCCTGACTAGTAACACCACTAAGTAACTCCAGATCCCATCCTGACTGTGGCGCAGGTCTGTGTGATGGCCAACTCCAGAAGAGATCGAGAAGAACGTAAAATACAGTTTCAGGTAAACAGTTGCGTTCTACTTTCAAGATACTCTGCTCAGGCAATGACAAAAACACTTCAACAAAACAAAAGTGCCTTTTGAAAATAAACTCTCTCGCTAATGCCTCTTTGCTCAGGTGTGGCCGCAGGTGCAAGAACAGGGAACAGCGCTCTATCTGCCCGCCACGCTACTGCGGAGCTGGAAAGATTCTGACAGACAAGTCAAGGAAAGGGTCTTCAACTGACGTTTTGCTGCTCTTGCTCACCAGTCCGATACTACATAATCACTTTGGGAAGTGAGCTCTTTCCTTATTTCCAAGGACCATACTGTCTGAACTGAAAATCGATGCAAAGTTGTTAAATTTGGAAACGTAATGACGAAGTTGCTTCCTTCTGGAGATGCAGATGCAGACCTGCCACAAGTGTGACAAGTTTTACGGCCACAAGCTCATCCGCGGTGCAGGCTGATGCAGGGCAGAAGGATGACAGGACTAGCTCAAGATGAGGGCTACAAGTCTACCCTGAAAAGCCAACTTACACCAGCTCTCCCCTATCCCTGGCAAACCCATCGGGATCAAGGACACCAGGATGACCACCCCGGTCAGAACACGACAGCGGGGGCTGCAGGAAGAAGCTGGGGAAGGCAGAAAACTTACTGGGAGCGCTCACAGCTTCAGAGCTCAGCCACAAGCCAGACCAGGTGAACAGTGGGACTGAAAAACCTCTGGGGTTCCACACAACAGCAGCACTGAGCTGCAGTTACGACACCGAGCAGCGGGAAGCTCTCTCCATCTGGGATGAAGAAGAAAGACCACAGCTCCTCTCCTACGGCTGGGAAAGTCCAGTAATACTCCTCTGTTTCCCCAGTGCAACACACCCAGGTGCCCCACAGGAGGGAAGGAGTACAGTAAGCAGCACGTCCTCGCTGAACGGAACCTGCTTCCGAGGACAGATTCTGTCCTCCTCCTCCTCAGCTACAATATCATGAAAATTTGGTTAATATGGACACAGGACTGCAAGGGTATTTCCTCTATTCAGGCCTTGCCAGATTCCTTATAAATGGAAAACAGTGACAGGAGACATGGAAACTTTAACCCCTAAATTACCAAGTGCTGTATAACCACCCTGTCCTCCCCTAACTCTCCAACCCTGTGGATAAATCTTTCATAGGACTTCAGCAAAAACACTGAAGCATTATCACATATGAGGTAACCCCCTTTCCCAGCTTTTAATCAAGGAAAAGACAACTGAGCAGCAGAGGTTCCCTCTCCCACCCCTAATGGCATTCAGAAGAACATCCCACCCCGGGGGGGTGGCACAACTCTTCAGCCTAAGAGTTATTCACCACTTCCTCTTTCTCTAAAGAAGCAGTAAAATGCCTAACCAGCTCACAGCTGATTACGTACAACCCTGAATCAACAAAAACTCGCAAGAGTACATGTGGGGAAGAGAAGGGGAGAGGATCGTACTGTTCACCTCCATTTGTCCCCTCCAGATTCAGTCCACAAATTAGTGTTTGTATTCCACACACTTCCACCAACACCAAGAGCCATTTTTATCCAGTGCAATGTCCACTGCCGGCAATGGACACTTCACGACGGCCAAGATGCCGTCACGGGTACTGAGCCGTCCCAGGCTCCAACTTCCCACCTCTCACTGCTGTCAGCCCCAGGTAAAAGCCAGTGTCACCTCTGTTTCTCTGGCTCGGAAGCTTTCCTGTCCACCTTGGCCACAGCCTTTCCGAACTGATTGTGCTGTTTTTCTATCGCTTGATTGTTTGTTTGTTTTTTAAAAAAGGAATTTCCTCTGTGTTCCACTACAATTACAAATGAGACAGAGTCATCCTGTCTTCCACCAGCACAACATCTGGCCCAAACTGGTCTGTGCACTGCTTCACTGTAGCCAGAATACTGAGAAGCCGCTGGTCTAGGGCATCCAGATGAGGGTCAGACAGCACTGGTGAGATGGGGTCATGCGACATAGCAGTTTTTAAGGCAGACTTCAGTACTCCATTCTTCAGATAATTGAGTCTGTTCCAGGTAGAAACCCGGATGCTGCAAGAGAAAGACACAAACAGGTCATGGTACCACTGTCCAGCTGAAGTCCCGGCAGCAACAGCAACGCCAGCCTCTTGAGGGAGCCTGTTACACCAGGATTTCACCCAAATAAAACGGAGGCTTATTACAAAAGTGCTTTGGGGATGGGAAGGTCCAGGTGTAACTGCATTATATGCAACATCTAAGTGAAACTTGAAAACTGAAGCTGAAGAAGAAAGACTCTAATGTGATGTAATTATTCTTCTGTTACGCGGGCACGTGTTCAGCTGCTAGCACAGAGGTTCTTCAGCCCTGAGGCTTCCCAGACACAGTTTGAAAAGGAAAGAAAAGGAAAGAAAATTAACAGCCTGGCTGTTAATTCAAAAACAAGACTCGTACTACCTCAGGAAGAGCATCACTGACCGACAATTAACCACAAAGGACACAAGTCAGTCAACTGAACTTCCACAGAAAGTGAACTTAGCAATGATCTTTCTGCTTCATTGGCCATTAAACTTCTTCATGCCAGCCCATCTAAACTGTCTTGTTCTGTGAAGTCTCTTGGGATTCTCCCCCAAAATTTTGTGTTTTAACACCACCAGTCTAAACTCTTGGCTTTTGAAGGCCTCTGAAGAAACCAGCAACATAAGCAAGTGTTGTGACAAACCTATAGTTAAAACAATTACGCTTATGAATTCTTATATGGCATTTGCCTGGTATCAGAAAGAAAGTGTATCTGAAAAGCAGGAAACTGCAAAGTCTCTTACACAGATAAACTTCTTTTCCGGTTGTATTCGGGAGAATCTAGATGAGAAAGACTCCAAAAGATCCTCATAAAACAGGAAATCAAAAATGCCTTTAAAATTAATATAAGAAAACTAAAGAATCTGAAAATAATTTACTTTAATTGTTCTCCGTATGGATCCTAAAAGAATCTTGCAGAACGTAGGCCGGGTGTACTGTAGCACACACAGAGCCTTGCACAGCACAAGCCGGGGGGAGCTCAGGCTTTCTGCAGAGTATCCAGGCTTCACAGGCCCCAAGGGATTTCGGAGACAGAGCCCTCCAAGGACAGGCTCAAGCAACTCTCAACTAAGCGCGTACTTTGGAAGGTTTAAAATTGTCTTGAAGTAACAGATGCAGGAAACGGATATATTGGTAATTTTCTTCCTGGTACTTTTCTCTGTATGTTAATGAGAAGTAGCAATGGCCTGGTGAGAGAGCGGCCACAGAAAACAGAAATCCACAAGTCACAGCCTCTAAAAATAAAAAGAACAAAAACACAGCTCACTAGGCCAAAGCAGAAACAAAATCCTGAAAAAAACCTACAAAATTCATTGGTAAAGAAGCTCCCTGAGCAGTGCCGCAGTCTGGTTCAGAAAGAACATTTAGAAATGAAGGTAGTTCAGTTGCCAGACACTTTGAGTCCTTCGCTTCTGTCAGGGAGTACTCAAACTGTGATGTGAACTTTTACTCGGCACGAGCTGGATGCAGACAGCTGCAGAGTACCTGTCACACTGACTAAGGATAGATTTGAACCAGTGACCTAGAGGTGAGACTACTTCCTACAGTCCACCGTCCCATTTACTACCTTAATAAAAATGTATTTCTCAGCTTCTTGAGCAGTGACAATACATCAGACAAACACAGTACCTCAAAAACTAAAGCTCTATGTACCTGAGCAAACATTTTCAGGTTGCCAGAAGGCTTCAAACTTAATCACATCACAAACCTACGGACAGCAATTGCATCAGTAAAGTGAACAGCATCCCTGCATTTCACTTACATGCAGCACTGATAAAGAGGAGCCAAGATGCTTCTTTCATCCAGGGCAGGGTTTCCAAAGCTGAAAAGCAAAATTGAAACCAAGTGAACCAGTTGAACCTCTAATGTTGTTCTCAACATCAACAGATTTCTAGAGAATTCAAAAAACCAAAATCAATACTAGGCAATTTCATGCTACAATAGATCACATCATTTAAATTAAAATACAAACAGGCCACAACCAATTACAGCTGTAACTCTCAAAAGCATCAGCTAACGTACCAGGTAAACGGAAGCAACACCAGCATACCTAGATCTTTATTAGACCAACGCACTTTAGAAACAAACTTCAGAGGTGTTTAGAAATAAACGTCATCTTGCAAAGCAGGGGAAAGGAATAACTGGTATTCTACACGTAGAGAGCGGGAGCTTTGCGTTTCGGACACAGCTGGACAAGGAATGAACGGAAAAGCAGCCAGTGCTGTTTTAGATGGCCAAGCTTAGATCAACAGCTCAACTAACAAGGTGATCAACTCTAACATGTCACGATCACACTTTCTAAAGGAGGCCTGCCAAAAGGAATTCATTATATTTCAAGCTTCATCTAAACACGTGCGTACGTGCCTTTTTTTTTTTTCCTTATAGTTTCACCCTCCTCGTCATACTGTTTTAACAGAGAACTTTCCCCTCAATACAGATAACTTATTACTCTAGGAGTTTGGCATTACTCTGCTCAAACAATTCTGTTATTAGCAGCTTTAAAACTGGAACAGGCTCCTCAGGGAAGTGGTCACGGAACCAAGGATTGTGTTGATGATGCTCTTAGTCATACGGTTTTGTCTTAGGTAGTCCTGCGAGAAGCAAGGATTTGATGATCCTTATGGGTCCCTTCCAACTTGAGATCTATGATTCTACGAAAAAAATGCCCCCCTACCCCTTATCTCAAAGGAGCTGAAAGAACTTCACTTCAGCTTTCAAGAAAACAATTTACTTCTGGGCTCGCAAAGCCCCACTGGACATGTTTTTCTAATGTTATACACAAGTACCGCAATGAAAGGCCTGACATGAAATTCACCTACCATATTCACGTCCAGTGACTAATACATGAACTTCCTCCTAGCACACTGCCAGAGCGTTACAGAAAGACAATTTTTGCCAGTGTCACCTAAGGCAGTCTGAGAGCAGCAATAATTAAGCAATCCCAAGGTGGAAAGCATCCTGCTGAGATAACTGAAGGAGTGTTACTGAACAGGCTGACGCATGAAGACAAAATACTCAACTCAGCCGCTGCAGACAAATTAGAAACAAAGGAAGGAAGGAAGGAAGGAAGCCACTATACGAAAGGCAAATGGGGAAAGAAATGGTAACTCCAAGCCTTCCAAGGCTCTGTCTAGATCAGAGGTCTCAACACTCTGTACAAGCGGCAGGCAAAGCCACTGCAGGGCAGCGCCCGGCACAGAGCTGGCTGTCAGCAGCTGGGCCGTCCGCAGGAGGGGAAACTCACTGCCACTGTGGATGGTACTGCCCATCAGAAAAAAAACCTCAGGAGTCTTGGAACTAAAGCATGAGAAAGTAGAATAGGTTATCTCTGCTTTTAAGAAAAATTGAGCAAATTGTTATGATTTAAACAAGGCTGTATCTTCAATATGATTTTCAACTTAAACTATACCAGCCACCATACAAAAACTATAGCAGAGACAGAAAAATTCACATTTCAAACACATACGCATAGTAAAGCCTGGCCTCCAGAAGGACTTATCAGTTCCTCTCAGTTACTACATGCTTCATTTTTGTTTCAATAATAGTTAACATCCACACTTAGCACATCATCACATTTTGCTCTTCTATTTCAATTTTTAACTGTTAACCTTTTCAAGCCAGAGTAGACATATCCAGAAGGCAGGGAATGCCAAATTATTCAGAAACACATTTTGAAAAGATCTACTTTTACTATGGCACTCACTAATACTCACTGGTAAATAATAAATCATAAGTTTTTAATCTTCCATTAATTCAAAGCATAAAAAGGAGAAGCTTTTCTGGGGACTGGAGGAGAGACACAAGCAAACCTCTGAAAGCTGCTTGGGGAAGAAAGGTCGTACTGTGCTAATTTGGCAGTTTCTGTAGTTTGAGTAAGACTTTTCCCAAAGCAGTCATAGTATCTAGAGCACAAAGTAAGTGCCACAGCCTTTGAAGGACCCTAATATTTGGTGAGTAACTTCTGATAAGAAGGAAAGCTTTGGATTTTTTGCACAAAAGGTATTAATGAAAAAATTAGTGAGAGAAAGAAAACAGAGAGACACAGAGCAGATAAACTTGTGCCCTTGTGCTTGCCACCGCCTGGCAACCAGAATTTCCCTTACCCTCACCTTTTGGCATTATCCAGGAGGATGAGCATACTGGCTCCTTCATCATCCTGGAAACTCTCATAGTGATGCCGGTCAGCATTCCCAATCAAATAGTCAAAGATGGCGGTGTCAATGATATCAAGAAGACGAGGGCCCGAGTCATACGGTGAAGTCTTCTTCACAGCATCACAATAGCTTTCGTCGTACTCCCACCTGCAGGTCGTCAGGAGAAACCAAATCAAATCTTCAAGAAACACTCCACCACTGCACACCAACGGCATTACAGCTGCCCCTTTATTCACTTACGTGTGCATAAAGATAAGGCAAGCACAGCAGTGAAGGCTATATAAAGAAGAAAGAGCTAGACAAAATGGTTCATTAAAAGAGTAAATCCTGCATTAACACCCTGTTGTATGGAGCAAGCTATAGTTTCAGTGCAAGTTTACACATCATCTTCCTACAGACAACAAGGTCAGAGTTTGCTTCCTCGCCGCTCGTCATTCAGCAGTGGTCGGGCTGCCTCAGGGCAAGATTTGCCTCCCTTAACTTCCTAACTGAGGACTTTAAGCACTCTGTTCCTATTGCTTTGACCTGCTTCCACCAGCCTTGCTTTCCACTGATCCTCTTCATTTTTTCCTTCTAACGCAAATAACCTCATCACAGTTACCAATGACCTCCTCTGTTCTGAGGAGAAAGGCCTCGCACGTGTTCATTCTCCTTCACTCACAGTTGTCTCTCTCCTCCCTACTTCCCTTGCAGTGTATCTCACGTTCTTCTCCATCAGCAAGATTTCAAGCTTCCCTTACCTCTCCTCTCCTTCTACACGTAACCTAGGCATGTACTTGCAGTCTTATAACAGGGATGTCATGGATCAATTCTCCAAAGCTAGGATCTTTAACTTTCTCATTTTGTTCTTTACGGTTTTCAAAGCTATTCAACACCATCACCAAAACAACCAAATCTCTGGTGTATATCCTTTCCATCTGTGAACCTAAATAACAAGATCTATAACGTCTTCCATGTAAGGGCTGAAACAATCCTTCACAAAATAACAGTTAAGCTGGAAATGCCTTAAACCATCTGTGAACTGGAAACTGAAATGGAGGAAACACAAGCTGGAGAGACTCACTGACACGCTCAAAATTGCAGAGAGTCACAAAAGCACGGAGAAGATCAGAATTTAGCTATTAGAACTGCCACATACCCCACCTCATCTTCTAGAGATCTGGAGCCTGAGGTCTCAATATCCCATCCTTCCCCCCGTTATCCAAATCAGAGTGGCTAAAATTTATCTTCTTGATGTTTTCTGTTGACACTTCACAGACACTCCTCAAACGCTGTCTCTTGTTCCCTCCTTCTTTTGCATCAAGGTTCAACTCACATTCCAACTCACAGCACAAACCCACCAGGCAAAAGTCTAAGGACATACTCCGCCTTGTACTGGATACATTTATTTTACGCTACATTCCTCTCTCCCTCAAGTGTTTCCTTTCCTCTTACTTTAGATCAGTACTTCATCTCCTCGCAACAATTTTTCAGATATATTATGCTCTCTCTTCTCATTTTCCATTCCGTCTTTCAAGACAGACCTTTCTCCGACATTTATTTCTGATCATTTATATTGTATTAGCACAGGACTTCAAAGGTCAGGGATTTTATCTATTACTTGTCCATTAAAAATTATGTACACTAATGTAACTACATGAATTATGTTCACAAGTCAACTCAGGACAGAGTAAGAGCAGCTAAATCTGGAAAAAAAATTTCTACAGTTATTTTTCCGTAATTACCAGACGCAGAAAAAAAGCAGCATGACATCTAGTACGTTTAATTCTCCTGATGCCCTCAAAGTGAAAAGTGCAACGTGACAAGGTGCAATACAACAGAACCGTGCAATCCTACCTGAACGAGGCAAAAGCAAGCAAGTTTAAAACACAGTGAATATCAAATCAGCACAGGTATCGGGGTATACTCTGGTGTAAGCAGGCAGCTTACAATGAAAAACAGTCTCTCAAAAAAAGAAACACCTCCAAGAAATTCAGTTCATTCACTACTGCAATTTACCGTGTACTAAATACAGCTGATTTTGACCTGTCGCAAAGGAGATAACACCTGCTGCTCAAAAACCAAACTGCACATTTAATACTCTAAAACCATTCAATGAAGCCTTTGTCTGAGAACAATCACAATGTTTGAAATCAATGGATATTTTAGATCAGAAAAAATCTCTTTCCAATCACTTGTTCAGGACACAGACTTGGAGAAACTTACTAAGCTCAAAACCTCTGGTCATGGCAAAACCATCTCCAATCCAAATACTCAGACATGTCACATCTGTTGTACAAGATTGCTAGATCCCACGTTTGTCCTTCTCTGAAAGCATTCTTTTTTGATGCTGAGCATGGGCACCAAATACTGATGCTATTCAAAGCAAAGAAAAACTTTTCAGTGCCTACCTACTCAAGCTAAACCAGCTCCACAACTCTTGAAACAACCTACAAGGATCACGACAGGAGGTCTGGCAGAAAATAGCACAGTGCTACCGTGAGGGAGGCACAGTGTGAAAAGAAGGTCTAGTGGCACAAGAGGAAAGTCTTAGTTTGCCCAGGGCCAGAATTTTCAGAACCTGGAGTGACTGCATGGTGGAGTTCTGTTCCAGACAAGCAGCAGGAAAAGGACAGCAGTTAGTATCGTGGAAAACAATGAAGATTTCTTTCTTGATGATTTTAATTTGAATCTCATCCTAGACTTTTTGACTTCTACTGTCGTGTCAAGAAAGCTGTCAACACAACTCTAGGTTTTGAGAACACTTGCTTCTTAATTAGCCACTGTATTGCAAGGGTAATTCTAGTACAAATGATCATGTATAAAGAATAACCCTATCACGTTCTCATACCTGGCAAGTTTGCCTTCACGGTAAGTCCTACCCCATGGGTGCCGATGCTTCTGAAGAGGCCAGACATCTGGTAGCCACAGGGTCACGGATCCCTCCATGATGTCCCCATCTGCACAAGCTGGTTCTGTTTCCCGACAATAGTAGCACTTCCCATAGAAGCAAGTGTTATTACCTTTTTTTAAAAATAAAGAGTATCAAAAGAGCAGAACTTAATCCAAGGAATGTCAAATGAAATTCAGAAGCATATTGTTGCAGCACAGCCTTCACTGCAATAGGATTTCTCTGCACTTGGCCTCATGCTTCCCACCTCAGAGAGGGAGAGGCTCAACAGAGATTAAACAGACATTACACATTCAAAGCAACATTAAAGATTAATATTCAAAGGAGAGAGTAATTATATTTTCTAATGTGTTAATCGCACTGAGAGTTCATACAATATTGCACTGTCAACAAGTTTTTGAGATCCCTAATCCCTGGAACGTTGACTTTGCAACCTTAGCACTGCTTGTTTTTTAAAATTCACACTTCGTCTGTCAGGTTTCCCACTTCTTTTTCAAAAGTCGACCAAGAGGAGACAAGTGAAAAAAAGACTAAGCAGAACTAAGCAGAACAGGATTTGGAGCCCTGAGACCTGCCACACATCTCAGTTACTTGAGCTGACTCAGCAAGGGAAACACAAACACGCTGTCCTTCTTGTCTGACCTAGGAACGCAGATCAAGTTTCACGCCTGTCTTCTGCCAGGAGAGAAACAATGCAACCCTGCAGTCCTTAGTCTGTTAAGGCCTGTGTAGCCTGTAACGTAATCTAATGTAGCCCAGATTAACAGTTTAACCTTTTCTATTTCACCCTTCTAACCCGCCTTCGCTTGACTCTTGACAAATCATCTCCAGTGCCACACTCACAGATGTTCTTCCAAAATATTCTTCAACCATGTCTCACTTCCTTGTGATTCCACTTATTCCCTGTCCTTTCTTCCTTTGGCCCTACATCCAACATCCTCCCCAAACCAGGCCCAGCTCTCCGAGACACATTTTTCACTTTCCATCCTTACACATCCTTAGCCAGCCCACACTCCCTTGCAGTCCTCCACCCCGACCCAGCTCTTACGCTCGCACTGCCCCAGGCAGACAACTTGAGGACATCAGAGAGATGAGCATCAACAACATAGAGCTTGCAGCAGACCAGGTCTTCTATTTGTATGGAAAGCCCTGCAAGTCTCTCTTCCTATCCATGGCCTGCTACAGGTGTAGCAAGAGACAGAATTCTTTGAGATTCTAGCTGCAACTCTAGCAAATCTGCCTGGAGTACGCATGAATTATCTTTTCTTCAAAACCTCAGAAACTTGGTCAAATTTGGGTGGAGAAGAGGTCACAATCTTCTCCTCAGGTCCAACCATTTCTTTGGTTCATGGTCTGCGGAACAAGCAGTTCTGAGGAATCTAAGGAAAGGCAATGAAAATTTCTGGAGCCACACTTTTCAAGTCAGCATTTCTACTAGAAAACTGCTTAGTTATCTTGGCTGAAACTAGAAAAAGTAAAGTCTGTCTGAGGCAGACACCCAATTTGAATGCAGAGAGAGTCTGGCAAGGCAGAGCTACTCTCATCTGAAAGTTACTCCTTAGAACTGAAGGTGTTAGGCAAACTCAGTAGGTGAGACTACCAACAGTGCTTCTAAAGGAAAAATACACAGGCACACATATTTATCGGCTGTCATGAACAACCATCTCTAGACTCTTCTTATAAGAAAAAAAAAAAGAGTAATAATTGGATATTTTATGAAAGCCTGAAGGAGTTGATACTGCAGCATAAGTCATTTCTTGGTGCTTAATGACCACCCGGTAGGAGTTCACATTAATAATTCCCACTAAGGGTCCTTCACAGCATTATTACTGTAAGCAACATACGGAAGTTCTGACACATTTAGTTATGAATGCTCAGCAGACTCTGATGTAGCACAAACAAAATCTAATACCAACCGACGCACCAGCTCTACAAATTATCCCAAATCACCACTGCGTCTGCGTTAAACACAATCCCATTTTTTTCCTTTCAGGTCTAATCATAGACCTTTCTAACCACCTCCAACAGCAGAGAGAAAATTCTTACTCAGAAAAAACCCACGTGTAACAGTGTGAGGGAACACAGAGAAGTTACAGAGGAAAAACTACTTGGAGAAAATCAAGTCCTCCTCCCCTGCCAAACGGGGTTATACAAGCCTTACAACCTCTCTTGGCACAGAGACTTACAGCTTTCCGTACCACAGTTAACTGTTCTCTAACTGTGTCACGTTCCCAAGGCTCCTTTTCCCATTAAAAATGTTTTTCTCCACTGGACTGCACAACCCACGGAATCCACTTACCCACAGTCATGAAGGTACCCAGAAGCTGCTCGGTGGCTACTGGTTTGATCTCTGTACGTAGATTCACAAACCTGCCAACCACCAGCGGAGCTCGTCGGAAACCCAGAATTCTGATGTGGGGTGAAAAAACATGACATGAGAATTTGCAACACAAGCGGCAGCTCTACATCAAAACAAACCTGCACCAAACCACAGTCTCTGTGCCATTGTCTGAAACTGAGATGACTGAGACCAAAGCATAAAGTTGGAACCCTGCAGCAACCTCCTCTCTTCACCAAGGCCAAGTGAGGAAACTCATTCTTCCTCAGTGCCTGGATGTTACAATTGCTTTATAGGCCATCGGTGACACTGCTTTATTAGAGCCTTTGCAACAGAGCAACACAGGATGCACCATGCTCCAACTCTCAGAAATCAGACCTCATACCAGAAATATCCATCATCTGTCTCGTGTACGGTCTGAAGCAGTAACCATATGGCCTTCAGGCTGGTCACCTGGAAAGATCATTTATAATCTGCGGGAATTACTATCCGTTAAAATGCTATGTTTAAGCTCAATTCAATTATATTTGAAAGTAAACAATCTAGGAGTTCTGTTGTCTGGCATGAGTGGGGAGAAGGGAAGAAAGAATGGTAGAACAAAACCGAATGCCTGAAGCGACCGCAAAAAAAGAGAGGTGGGAAGAACAATCATAAAACTTGCAGTAGTCACAAGATCCAGGTTCCACTCCCACGTCTGCCATAGGCTTTGCTCTGCGACCACAAGTGACTTGGGTATTTGTAATGGAATTGTAAAAGTGCTTAAAGGAGTACAACGCCAGCCCCAATTCTCTTAATGTACTTTTGCTACCCTTCCGGTAGTCTTTGCATCTCAGCAAAAGAGACTGAAAAGGGACTGTCCCTTCTGGAAAAAGGACAATCTACATTCCACAGACATACTGGGAGAGTCACTAACAGCTGCAAAGTATTTTTTTTAGATATTCGACGAGTAAGTCCCCTTCCACAAGTATAAAATACCTCTAAGACAGGGCAACACAGAATGTCTGCCTCAACAAATCATGTATGCATAAAGACAAAATTCACAGCTACTACAGTAATGTACAGCTTGAGAAAATGCAGGTGTTCCAAGTAAATAAGCACAGAACTGAGATCTGGAAAACCTGCCCCTGTATTGTCAGACCCATGGCTGAGAGGTCATTACCCTGGATAGCAGAGTCTCCCCATTAGTGGTAAGCATCCAGTGTGATTCAGATCCTTTTAGAAACAATGGCATCCTCGGACAAAATATGGAACTGTCGCCATTCAAAATGGAAGCACACACTAAAGTTACATGGGCAGGTAGCTTCTGGTAGGTATGCTTGAGGAATATAGAGGGGTGTAGCCACAGAGAGGGTAGAAAGGTCAGAGAAAGCACAAAACCACAACCAACCAGACAGCAAGGGATAGCTAAGAAAGAGGAATTTGGACACTGGAAAGAGGCTTCGGATTGTTGCGTTACAATGTCTGATCACTGCTTTTTCAGGGAAACCAAAGTCTGTGTGTTTCTGGAAAGCACAAATGGACAACAGACATCTGGCTACATCATCTTTTTTTGCTCTTAAAATATCCTAATTCTGGCTCACCACCTCAGGATTGCAACAACAGCAATGGGTATTACACAACCGGTTACCACCAAACCTTCCTAGAGTTACTCATTTCCATTGCCTGTACAATGACTTCCACAAATGAATTAGGGCTAACGAGCATATCTTTTTCCACCTATGAATTCAGTCACAGTGACAAGCCTTTTATTTACGTACCAGTAAAGCTCAGTTTAAGTTCAACCACCCTATTCTTTATTTTATTTGTCCCTCCTTATTCCCTTTCCCAAGATTTTAGGTCTCTTCATCTAAGAATTTTTCAAATCTTTAATTATCTTCAGAAATCTTCTCCAAAGTGTCAACATAGCCCTCTTACAATGAGGAGACCAAGACTGCGCTCATTTATTCTAGATGTGAAACAGCACTTCTAATAGTATTTCCTAACTACTGACAGTCAATGTTTGGTATTTTTTTTGTCCCATTCTTTGTACGTCCTGTAACTTTTTTTTCCTTCTGGTAATTGCACCTCCACAACTCCGGTCCGAAAAACCACCTAGGCACCCCTAGGTACAATTAATGTATGAATAGCTGTCTTTCCTCTCGGATGAACTGATCTGTATTTAGTCTAAATTGTTAGCCTAAACATTAGACTTTTTAGTGTACTGGGCATTAAGTCAGCACACACACGCAGCATTGCAGACTCTTCCACAGGATCTGGCTAAGCTCCTTCTTCCATATAAGAAGTATCAGTGGTTTCAGTGCTTATTCTCCTTCTCAAATTTTTCACAAAAATCTTAAATGTTAGAATCTTGCACAGATCTTTGAAATGAAGTTTCACAAAAAAGCTAATTTTTATTTTTGGTTTCAATGTGGTACATTGGCAGGTTAGAAATAGCTTACACCTGAGGTGCATTCTTCAGGGAACATCTTTTTCCCCAACTCTGAAAAAGTGTTTACCAGAGATAATAAAGCCAGGTAACCCAATAATTCCATACCTATCCAAGTGAAAGGCTGCCACCTCTGCATTGTGTCTGTCATAGCCAGCGTATGGTTCTCCTTCCACAACATAATCCCTGGCATATCTGTAATTGAAATAAGTTAAATGAAGCGATTCATGCAGGATTTCCATCAATTTTGCTGTTCACAGCAACAAGTGCAACAACAGAACTAAGCTAAACGGACTCTGGGTCACTTTCAAAATGACTGCTAATGGGAGAGGGACAAATATTAATGCAATTAAACAGCATACAGACTGTTGAAGTAGTAAATCAGGAGGAAAGGTCAGCAATGTACAGTGGTCTCAAGAGCTTGGGAAGCAGTGCCCATTCAGACTAATGAGTTTTAATTCAACCATATGCCAAGTCACATTTAAGAGCAAAGAGCACAGACTCAGCTACAGCACAGGGGACTATTTATACTGGGAAGCAGCAAAGCCACAAACAATTTTGGGGTTAGACTGGATTGTAGATTAACCTGAAAATACAATCTGATATTGTGGAAGAAATGCCAAATACAATTATTAGTAGCTAGAAGATCAGCAAGTATGAACCTGAGATATATACTGGATATAAAAAGACCCTTTTTTCTGGTGGAGGGAAGACATAATGAACAGCAAGAAATAAAAATTAGACACTCATTGCAATAATGGTATATTTTGGTGAAGTGGTGGGCTCTTTTTTCTTTTTAAATAGATGTTACTTAAATAGCATAGGCAAACACAAATTTCCAAGATTCATGACACTTGAATTAAGTCTAGATACCACTTAAGAAGCACACTTCAGATGAGCATGAAATACCACAATCAATACCAAGCAAATGGGTGAAATACCATATCTTTTCAAATAAAGTAAGGCCAAATTAGATTACCTACTTTCTCATTTCCGTTTGTGTAAACTGGATTATTTCCAACAGACTCGGGGTTCAAGCAGTAGCAGCAACACGTAATAGAAATCACAGCGCTCTACTTTGACATTTTTAACCCTGCTCAGAGAAGATCTGAGGCAAGACAACAGTCTATTTCATCAGCCTGAGCAAATGTTCTAGCTTCTCTGAAAGGCAGCTCAAAAGAGAGCTAGGCAGTGCAGGATGGCATGGAGTTTTTGGGAGGAGGACCCGACAGATTCTTGCCAAACTGGAACTTATACCAAACAAGCATCTTCTTTCACATATCCCACTGGCTTGTGATGGCAGCAACTATTGTTAGTAACTTCAGCTGGATTTCAAGTAATTTTGAAATGAGCTGGCAAACCCTCCAAACATGTCCTCATAGTTGGGTCTTTTGTATGTACTTACAGCAGGCTTTTGAAAACATGATCTCCTTTTGAAAGCTGCAGAGCTAAAACCTATTGGTAAAGCACAACCAAACCCTTGCTTCCACGCTCAGTAGGCATCTAGTCCTCTCTAGAGCAAAGGTACCAAGAGAATGAATTCTTCCCCAACCAGCAAGTTTTCTCAAAACCAATTTTAGTAGTAACTTTGACACACCTTTCAGGTCAAAAGCTAGTTAAACAGACTATCTTGCAGTGACGGAACAAGGCTCTACCTACAAGCCTAGCTATTCAGCAGTCAAACAGAATAGGGGTTTCCCAGCACGGCTGGGGCTGTACTGCCTAGCACTCCTACAAACTGCCTAGCGCTCCTATAAACATTCCCAGCTGCGCGTGTCCTTGACGGAGCATCCTCGCTGCGTTCGCCTGCACAGATATGTCATTACAGGAATGCAATTTAATGCTCGGTGAAAAGCTTTACAGCACAGGCTGATACAGAAAGCGCTACAGAAATACCACGTCTTGTTACTGCATTTATTGGATGATCCACTTGCTGTACCACCAAGGTTTCTGTGTGAGAGGTTGATGCTGGTTAAACACAGCGCAGCCCCACAGGCAAGCTCCAGCCAGACTAGTAATTTGCCATACAGAAGCAGGGCTGTGAATTCAAAAAGTGGAGGGCAGATTTATTTTCTCATTCCTAATCATTCATTAACACGACAGAAAAACTTCATGCTTGCTCCACCCAATGCCCTCCGGAGAGAGACGTACGCATTCTGTGATGACAATGTTTTACATTCGCTGTGCACTCCCATAAAACACACCTGCCTTACTTTTTTACATCTTTCTTTCTTCTCCTTTTCCCAAAGGCAAACAGCTCAAAAAGCCTTACAGACGTGCACAAGACTCTTCATCAATGTTCAATCATGTTAAATTTCCCTGTGGATCACCGTAAACAGAGACCGTACCAAGGAATTATCGCTATCTGCCCATTCTTACACTGCTCCTCCAGCATTCAGTACTGGCAGGCAGGAAACTTGGGGACTCTCACTCTGACCTACCAAGCCATTTTTACAGTCTTCATGCAGCTACACCAGATACCTAGACCTACTTGTAAGACCGCTGTCAGCTTTCACTCCTTCCCTGCTCCTGAACTGCACTCTCTCGTGGTAGTTTGACGTGACCCTTACTCAGAACAAGTAGGCAGACTTGCCTCCACACTGCCCTTCCGCAGTCGGGAAGATACCGCTGAGAAACACCAGGCTTAACCAACATTCCTGCAGGACTGAACGCAGTGATCATTCCTTTAACCTAAAGACAGGCTGTTTCCAGCATCAAAGCTAGACAGCTGGCACAGCACCTAACGTTACCAGAGCTCCAGCAAGGCTCTATACTCTCTGTCTCACAAGTAAGAGAATGGCTTTTCCATTTATGTATAAATTTTTAACTTAAATATTAATGCAACCACTGGAGACAAAACAAAAAGTAATATAGAAGGCAGTATTTACCTCTTGGGTTTGAAGACAACCTTCTGACCTCCTTCAAGTATTAGCAAAGCTTTCAGCTGGGTCCCTTTGTATCCTACATCAGCTTTTATTATTTTCTTTGTCGTCATGGCATGCATAACAGCCCCTAGCTCTGGCGTCTCCTCGGGATACACCTCCCGGGGCACCACCCACTGGGCTGCAATCTCCCAAGGGGACTGCAATGTGTGGTCAAGCCGGGGGTCCAGTTCTATGCGGAGGCTTGCCATCATACGGTGAAAGGCGCGCTGGTCCTCCCGGTTGGCAGCCGAGGTGTCCAAGTTGTCAATGAGGAAAACTTTCGTGAAAATGAAGATGACAAGGAGGATGGCCAACAGCACAACTCGCTGCTTTAGCTTCATGGTGACCTTCAGCCCTTCTCCCCTGACCCGTTCTTCCAAGTGTTACAGGAAGTCTATTGGAGATCAGGGTGAGGAAGGGGATGTTGGTTACTGAATTTCAGTCATAACTTGCATTGTGAGAGAGGTATCACCACTGAAGCATCTTCTGGTACCCCTAAAAATAAAGAAAACACAAACTTACAACACTGGATTCCTGCAGATCCCACCAAACTCAAAATCAAGTTTGTGCTTGGAACACATCTGCGTTTATGTACACTTGTACCCTACAGGCTAAGCATTTCTGTTAAAACACATGGGGCTTGCTGTCTGCCTGTAGCCTTTCCGTGACCTGCACCAACGCGGAAATTGCCTGATAGCATCTCTACATAGCTGAAATCGTAACAGCCGCAACTACCATGGGCAAGACTTTTGCAGAGAATTGTAGTTTAAGTTGATGGCTCAAATTTCACAAACACTTTTCCGTTAGTAAGAGATCCCATGACCTCTGGTTTCCTAAAGATTGCTCCCTCAAGAGAAAGCTCCCAGGTAGATTTTCCGACATCTGACAACCGGTGATAACAGCTGCACAGCCTAGTTTCCTGAAGGTGTAAGACATAAGGACAGAATAGACTTAATTTGTTTGTTGCCTCTCATTTGCTGCCACTATAATTTACTCATCTTTTTTTTCAGTCTTAAAAAAAAAAAAAGATGGACGTCTTTACTTCCTTGTGGTTAACTATTCATCTTCCGCAGTCAACTGTAAAACCAATAACCACAAAAAATACACAAAATAGCTGTAATTTCAACACCAAGTTAACAAAAAAAAAAAACCCCTTCTCAGAAGACTAACACTGTCTCTTCTCAGAAACCTCACCTACAACAGTTAAAGCCACAGCTGTGTTTCTACATTTACAACAGGCTGCCAGACGTCTCACCCCTCAACAAGCCTCTGCCAGTACAGTGTTAGTACGTGAGGACCACAAAACACACAGTTAATCAACTGTATTTTAATTATGAGGACAGAAATTATCTTCATAATATTAGCTAAACGTAGTCAAAACCCAGATGGAGACGGATACTAAGGCACATCTCTGAGGAACGCCCAAAGCCAGCAGAGATTTCCCTCTGCACAAGCTATGCTAATCACAAAAACCACAAACGGCACCCTGAGCTGTGGTAGGACTAATATAGAAACACCTTCTCACGCGATTTAACAATAAGCGTACAAACCAGTCATTATTAATCATGTCACTGGGAAAACAAGCTGCGCAGGCTAAGTTAAGGTACCAGCAGCAGCCACAGGACAGCCAGCCACCGACTTGCTGGCCAAGCACGGATCACAGCCGTCCTTGGCGTCCGTGTGGACACCACATTGGGCTCGCAGTGGTCACAGGGGGTACCACGGCTCCGAAGGGCCGGAGCGCATTGCTGAGGTAACTCTCCATTGAAGAGTAAAGCCGTGGCAAACCGCAGATGACAGTGAGGTAGTAGTAGTTCCACAAGAATCCAAGGAGGGCACGCCACGGGGCCAAGAACGAGCGTTTCTCCTGGCAGCAGCACTAGTGCTCACGCGCAGGTAAAACTCTGGCCCAGGCCAGCACAACAAAGGAGAAGCAGCCGAACCACCCAAAGTCACAAGCAGCCCACCAACAGGGACGAGAAAAATGGGTAACAAACTGCCAGACCTTCCCGTTTTCAAACCCCTCTTTTCAGCACGGTGACCAAGCTGAGCACCGCTCAGCCTCCAGGCGACGCGCTGGGACGATGCAGAAGCACAGCTTCGAGCCACGCTGACCATCTGGATTTTTTTGCTGTCATTGTCCTGCCTCAGATGACAGCTCAGTTCGGTTTGGCCCTTCCCAGGTTACACATTTTGCCTCTTAAAACCTGTCTGCAGAAGCGGGAAAGGAAGCAAAAGTCTCCTAATGACTATGAGTTAAAAATGAAATGTGAACAAATGGTTTAATGTTAGTAGCAACCACAAACGGCAACATAAAAACCTCACGAAGGCTACAGGGTAGGCTGAACGAAGGCTACCAAGTATCAGGGCTGCTTCTAACTGGCTCTATGGTCCCCTCTTAACTATGTAACACTCACTTTAAGCTACTGGAAAATGAGTGCTTGTATAGTGAAAAACAGCAAGCCACGTGTTTATATGGAAATTAAAACAAACTGTTGTTCATCTCGGTCCTGTTTCGGCAGCCTGTATTTCTCCAAACAGCACATCAATCTGTGTATTACACACTGCAAGCACAAGAATGAGAAGCGCAGATGAGGAAGACACACCTGACTCAAGAGCCCCAACTCTTGCAAACAGACCAGCAGTCACTCAGAGAGAGAGAGCCCTAAATAACAATATTATTCTTAAATCTAAGAAAGCAAGCAAAGCTAATCAGGCTATCACTATACCATCTCACTATAATTTAATAATTTCACTTCTTTAAAGCTAGCAATTCCAAATAATTTTGAACATCTCCGTTATCAAGATCTGCTTTCATTCATTTTTAAAAGCCATCAGAGCTTGTAAGAAGTTACACAGAAGAACACAGCTCCTTTCAGAACAGTTACTCCTCATTATGAGATAAGTATATGTGTACGTGTATATTTTAAGCAAGCCTTGCAGCCCAGTGTTGGCCAGCTAAAGCCCTGGACAAAAATATTTCATACCTTTGGAGCTGAAGCTCGGCACTCGCTTTCCTAGACTGCTTTTCAGGAATGACAGTTATCTCTAGGGGTATTCTTTTCAGGGGAGGGAGGGGAGAATATAACTAGAGCTACCGCTTAAATTAAAGGTCATTTACTCAGTTTATCTTTTGTGACAGCTTTGAAACTAATTTTGGCTGAAAACCTCCAACGATGTAGACAGAATTTCAAAAAAAAAAAAAAATCAAATATTTGCTATAAGACATTTCAGTAATTCCCTTAAGCAAACAACCGATCATCACTAAACATTCCTCCACAAGCTATACAATTACTCCGCGACTTTACTGTCTGTAGCTTAAAGCAGGTGAGTCGACCCCGACTTTTTACTGACAGCTGCCGAAATGAGTCATCAGCTGCTTTTCTCCAGTGAACAACAAACCAGCCCGGAGGTTGCCACGCAATCGGTTCCCCACGCTAGCTGCAGAGCCTGCACGCACTCCTCCAGTGCCAACGCTACACTCCCTGCTGTACGAGCCAGCGAAAACGAATCCTTCGCGAAGAAGTTTACCACGGAGAGCAAGAACTTCAACTTCATTGTTTTAAATTGAAGATGGCAAGAGCGACAGTGTTGAGGTGTTGGAAGAAAATATTTACAGAGTTTTAGAAGAAAGTAATTTGAAGAAAAGGACAAATCTTTGGAAAAGAGGATTATGAAAGCTCAGGAAGCGTGAAACTGGTCCTGGAATCAGGACAGAGATGGGAAAGGTGGCCACAGAAATAAATGCAATCAATATTAACAAAACCTCAAAATTTTAAAAAGGGGGAAACAGGGTGAGCTGTGGGCAGAGCTCTGTGGAACAAAGGGCAAAAGGGCCTAGGACAAAAGTAAACCTAGGGATAATGTCAGAAGGAGACCCAAAAAGCAAAAAGTTCCACAAACTGGCAAGGGTGAGAGGACAAGGCAAGGGTCTTCACGCTCGATAAAAAGGATCAAAGCGACAGGGAAGCCACTTACTGCTACATAAGAGTTGTGGGAATACGGGATGCACAGAAGATCCTAGATGCAATTTCAACCAGAAGGCATCAGAGGAGGAAAAACCCAAACAAAGTTTTCAGAAGTCAAGCACATCTTAAGCCTCCAACCGACAGAAGGACAGAGCAATGCCTGTATACCTACAGTCCCAGAACAACGCACATTCCCTCGTGCTGCTGGGCAGCAGCCACACAGCTCTTACCAAGCTCAGGTAACTCTAAGAGTGTTTCAGGGCTTTTTTTACATTTATTTTTTCCTGAGCTTCTGCTTAGCATTCTCTCTAGCTACCATTACTAAACAGAAGATAAACTCTACAGAGTTTTGTTGCTTTACCACCCGTCTCTATGTCATAGAAGCACAAAAAAACCCACTTCCCTCTACCATTTTACCACACCCCTGATCAATGAGGAAAACAGTCACAAATAAACAACCATACCAGCTTTTTAACAGCATAGTCAGCTGCCAAGTTTGCTGAAGAAATGCTTCTTGTCTTTTACTAGCTCTTCAGGATACTTCCTGATCAATTTTGTCTCTCATTACAGCCAGGTCTGTAATCTCAGCAAGTTACAAATCTCCCAATTCAATATCCAAGTAACAGCATCTTCTAAATATCACGGTGGGGTCACTGTGCACACAAACGCCTGAACTAAAGCATGCCCGCCGGCATTAAGCACCAACATCACACCACTTCACCCCCAGCTCAGAAAGCAGCATGAAACTCCCCTGCTACAAACAGCAGCAAAATCACAGCTACCGTAAGCAGGCTACAAAGTCAGCAGAGAACCACATCCCAGAAAACGATTTTTATTGGAGTCACAAGATCAACGCTATGCCACACACCAGTATTCTTTCTAGATCATAAAGCAAGGATTTTGTTATGCTCCGAACGATGAGTAAGGTCTGAGGGCGGGCAAAGGTTTAGTTTGTCAGCACAAGTACACAAAAAATCATAGCCCAAACCGATGCCAATCTGAAACGAATATGGTTAAGTATGCGCTAACTTCCGTTTAAATGCGCATTTTCTCTTTCTAAATACGCTATGTGTTTTGGGATCTCCTAGCAAAAGGTCTTTAAAAGTTCTCCAGTAAATCCCAGAAAATGCCTCAAAGAAACATCATATACAATAGTGACATTTTCCTCTTCCCAAAATGTACTTCAGGCTCACCAGCTCAGCCTTTCTTCCTACCCTCCCCGCTCTGGCCACCTCCTTGGCAGCTCACGCTTCCCCACTCTGCGTAAGCCTCGTTATTTCAGGTTTCGCAGGCAGGCTTCCACAGACCTTTGCTTCGGTTTTTCAGACTCATTCTGTCGCTTCCACTCTTTGTGTGCTGCCTGGTTTGTGCGC